AAAAAAATAAAAAATAAACAGATGTCTACAAAACAGATTTCTTTGTTCTTAGGAAACACTTACATGAAGTTGCAAGATGCTGAAATTTGACTTAACAGGACAAAGTTCCCAAGTCTCATTCTCTAAGAACATTCTCAGTTCATCGAGCCGTGTCCTTAAAAAAAAAGAAAATGAACACTCCAAAAAGAAGAAAAGCACACTGTACACAAGAATTGAGGAAATAAAGTACAATGCAAAAAATATAGGATTATCATCATGAGCATAATCAACTTTGAGAATCTATTCAGAATAACACAATAAACACTAATGTTTTTGTTAGTATCTTATTATCCTTAAGAGAAAGATTTTCAAATATTTACTGAACTCTGAATATTTTCCCTGTGAATAAAATGATGAATGTGTAGGAAATGACATTTTTATTAGGGGATTAAACTAAAAGCTTGTCACCAACTCATGTACTTAAAACATCTTTAGCTAATCATATATCAATTTCAAAACACAAATACTTTATAGACTATATGAGATCATAAATACTGATAAATACTTTATGCTAAACAGCATCGATCCTAACCATACTTACTAAGCCACAATATCAAGATAATTATCACTCTCTGAAGATATTTAGCTCAGTGCCTATCTCCACAGAGCATTTACACATTAAATTAGCAGGTAAGGCACGTATATGCCCAACATTTCACTAATTGCTTATGTCAAACTGATTTCTCTTTTAATGCTATTATTCTGACTGTCTATCTTGAATAATCAGCACATTATAGAAGCAGTTCCAGGAAACAAATCATTACTTCCAGTTGAAAAAAGAGCTAGTGCCTGCCCTACTCCTCCCCTTCCTACTACAAGCTGTTAATGTTGTACTAACTAAAAGCAAAATCTAGATTTTTAAAAAATACATGGAGTCTAAAATAAAGAAACAGTAAATAGATGAATACGTAAAAACCAGGAATTGCTCCAAATACTGAAGTTAACACATAAGAACTTTAAATTATTATAAATTAAATGAAATAGAGAAAAAGATGTATGAAATGGATAGAAAACAGGATTTCGAATAATTACAAACAAAAAAAAATCAAAATGACATTCCAGAACTGAAAATATAACACCTCCAATTAAAAACTAATAGGATAAGTAAAACAGTAGACTAGAGGCAGCCAGAGACAGAGTTAGTGAACTCAGAAATCAATAGAAAATATCCAAACTGAAGTACAAATTGAAAAAAAAAAAAAAGAAAGAAAACAGAAAAGATCGTAAGAGATACATGAAACAATCAAAACATCTGGAGTGCATGCAATTGGATGGAGAGGATATAGAATGAGCAGAAGCAATATGTGAAGAGGTAATGGCCGAGAATTCCCAAAGGAGAATGTGTCCATACTTCATATCACATACAAAAGTTAACACAAATGGATCTGTGATCCAATGTTAAGAACTAAAACTTTACAACTCAACACCAGTAACCCAATTAAAAAATGGGCAAAAGCTTTGAATATATATTTCTGCAAAGACACACAAATAGCCAATAAGCACACAAAAAGATGCTGAACATCATCAGTCATTAGGCAAATGAAAATCCAAACCATAATAAGATACCACTTCACACCTACTAGGATAATCAAAGAGACAGACATAACAAGTATTGACAAGATTTTGGAGAAATTGGAACCATCATACAATACTGGCAGGAATGTAAAATGTGCAACTACTTTGGAAAACAGTTTGACAGCTCCTCAAAATGTTAAACATAGAGTTACCACAGGACCCAGCAATTCCACCGTCTATTAGTTTCCCGTGGCTCTGTAATAAATTACCACAAACTGGGTGACTTCAAACAACAGAAATGTATTCTCCCACAGTTCTGGAGGTCAGAAGTCCAAAATCAGTATCACTAGGTTGAAATCAAGGGGTTGGCAGGGCTATATTCTCTCTAGAAATAACTCTCTCGTGGAAATAACCCACTACTTGCCTCTTCCAGATTGGTTTGTGGTATATAGTTTTCAAGGTAACTACTTTAAAGGAGATAATGCTCACCTGGATGGGAACATTTCAAACTGCCTTTTAAAAAAAAGTTGTCTTACAATTACACCAAGTTTGTGAGCCAACACATACACACAATTTGATGGTTAAATAAAAAGTCAAATAAAATTATTTAAATAGATACTCTAAAATTAATGTTAAACTTAGAATTCTAAACACTGTTATTACCTTAATTCTTTCAGAATTCTTAAATTCTATGTTAATTTAATGTTAAATAATTGTTATTTTGTTAGTGCTAGCTAAAATTAATGTTAATTTTGGTGTCTTTAAAGCACTTATTAATCAACATGTTCCAGTATTTTTAATATTTCTGTATTAGGAAAGCAATATGATATAACTGGAAAAGAAGTAAGCTATTAGCCAATATGAGCATAAAAACAATCCCTATCAAAAAAACTTCTAATTATGCATTCTTTATATTTATCCAGAATAAGAGAATTGCTTCTAGAAAGCCATTCCTCCCAAAGGCAGAAACACACACACATTGTACAGGGATTTAAGTATATGCACTGTATTTTGATGTTTGGCATTTGTAGAACATAATCTTTCACACAGGAATATTTATCTACAATGTGTTTCAATCAAAGGAAAAATGAAACTAATTTAAAGACTTTTTCACAGATTGCTTATTCTATAAGGATTCAAAGAATCAATTAACTCATTAAAATTAGTTAAGAGTATTTTTTATAAGTGCCTCTTTTATTTCTGAGGCATTTTCTCATTACAGGCAAATTTATGAATTACAGCATAAAT